AAGAAGAAGAGGAAGAAGAAGAAAAGGTAAAGATACAAATTATGAACAACAAATACATATCTATCAACAAGTGAATCTAAAAATCAAAATAAACAATGAGTGGACTGACTATTCTTTGGGGGGAAAGAGGTATGAGGGGTGCGGGAAGAGACTGGACAAAAATTGTACACCTATGGATGAGGACAGTGTGGGGGGGACGGTAAGGGCAGAGGGTGGAGTGGGAACTGGGTGGAGGGGAGCTATAGGGGGAAAAAAGAGGAACAACTGTAATAATCTGAACAATAAAGATTTAATAAAATAAATAAATAAATAAAAATAAAGTGTACCACCTATCTGGTAAAAAAACAAAACAAAACAAAAAAAAACAATATACAAAACCTAAAATGCCTTGTGCTACATGTTGAGATACTATTGCTTAATAATTATATAATCACTGGAGAAAATTATATAAAGTACTATGAAACATTGTTACAGTGACCATATTTTTCAAACACAGAATGAAAATACAGGTTCTGATAACATTGTGGGGGGAAGAGAGGGGGCACTTCTGGATGCAAGAGGTGTTCTAGGAGATGAAGCTTGCTCAAATATGGGAATGTGAAAGTTGCTTCAATAGGTTATGGCAGTGCTTCCCACTAAGAAACTGCATTTTTAAAAACAAGCTCCTCAGAGGACATGTGCACACTACAAATTTCCAACTACTAATCTACCACAATGAAAAACAAGACTATTTAAATAGGAACAATCCTGAATATAAGACACTAGAGGCCCAGTGCACAAAAATTTGTGCACTCAGGGGGATCCCTCAGCCCGGCCTGTGCCTTCTAGCAGTCTGGAACCCCTTAGGGGATGTCCACCTGCTGGCTTAGGCCCGCTCCTCTGGGGATTGGGCCTAAGCTGGCAGTCAGACATCCCTCTGGCAGCCCAGGAGCCCTCGGGGGATGTCCACTTGCCAGCGGGGAGCAGGCCTAAGCTGCAGTCGGACATCCTTAGCACTGCTGAGGAGGCAGGAGAGGCTCCCACCACCACTGCTGTGCTGGCAGCTGGCAGCCTGGCTTGTGGCTGAGCAGAGCTCCCCCTGTGGGAGCGCACTGACCACCAGGGGACAGCTCCTGCATTGAGCACCTGCCCCCTGGTGGTCAGTGTGTGTCATAGTGACCAGTCATTCCCAGTCGTTCAGCTGTTAGGGTCAATTTGCATATTACCTTTTATTATATAGGATAGAGGGCTGGTGCACGGGTGGGGGCCCACTGGTTTGCCCTGAAGGGTGTCCCGGATCATGGTTAGGGTCCCACTGGGGTGCCTGGCCAGCCTGGGTGAGGGGCTGAGGGCCGTTTTCAGGCTGGTCAAGCCCCCCAGTGGGGACCCTCACCCCATGAGGGTGTGGCCAGTCTGGGTGAGGGACTGAGGGCTGTTTTCAGGCTGGCCACACCCCCTTCAGGGTGGGGGTCCCTACTGGGGTTCCTGGCCAGCCTGGGTGAGGGGCTGATGGCCATTTTCAGGCTGGCCATGCCCCCCGGCGACCCAAGCTCCCAGTCTCTCCTTTATTTCTTTTTTTTTCCAGCAGGTATCTGGGATTTATTTATCTTCTATAACTGAAACTTTGTAGCCTTGAGCAGAGCCCAGTGCTGGCCAGGGCAGGCAGGAAGCTTGGCTTCCTCCATCGCCGGGGGCAACCCAAATCTCCTGCTCGCTCCAGCTTCGTGGCCGTGGCCATCTTTGTGATGGAGTGATGGTTAATTTGCATATTACTCTTTTATTAGATAGGATGGTATCCTCCAGATGTCTCCATGGCTCCCTCTCTCCTTCAGGTTTCTGATCAAATGCCACCTTCTCTGAGAGGCACCCCGTCCTTGATTAGCCTAGATAAAATAAAATAGTATATAGGTGTGCTCCCCACCATCCACAGTCATTCTCTATTCCTCTTCCTGATTTTTCTTTGTTATACTTACAGAAACTTGATTCACTACATATCTTCAGCACCTAGAACAGCACCTGGTACATAATAGATGCTGGATGAAGGAATACGTGTTTAGGATTATAATCGCTGAGAGGTACCTACTTTCCTCAGTCAAAATTACTGTGTTTACCAAATACAACACTGGCCATCTTTGGAAATGGAATGATGGGCATTTTTAAAAATATATTTCTTTTTTCCGTAAATTTTCAACAATGAGCATGTACTACTTATATAACGGATTTTTTTTAAAAGAAAACATATTGTTAAATATTATGCATGCATCCTGTCCATATATCTCAATTGACCTTCATATTTACTGTAATAAGCTAAAAATTCTCTCATCAAACTGTCATAGTATATAACTAACCATTCCCTAAATAAAATATAAAATAACTCACCAAGGGAATCACCATAATCAAACCACAGAAAACTGCACTTGAGAAAAGGGCGGTGATCAGAGCTTTCTTTCTCCCCAGAATGTCCATCCCGAAGCACAACACAATGGAGGCAGGAATATCCACTGCACCTGTCATTGAGCAAAAGGGCCCTCTATAAGCCATGGTGTCCAGCTGTACAAGGGGACCTCACCTTGTAACCCATTCCCCAAAAGGAATGATCAGCAGTATTTCTGCTTCCAGGGGCCTCTAAGAACTGTCAACTACTTGAGAGGCAACAAGCCCCACCCCTTTAAACTCCCTGGAGGACTTCTCCTGTGAAATGCTACTGTAATCAGTCCAGCACTTATTCTATTCTACTCGCCTATTCTATTCTATTCACCTACTCACTAAGCTGTAAGCTCCCCCAGGACACAGCAAGGTGCCTGGAGGGCAGGCCTGTTGAATGAATAAATATGTAAAATTAACAGACAACATTGATCATTTCTGATCTTTGGTTTCTTATGCTTGACAAAACTGGGGAGGGGGATGTATCAGTAACGTCAAACTTAGAAACTAAAGTAGAAAATCCAATGTCAGCCAAGTACATAAACTAATGTAACTGCTTGGTGGATTTTAAACCTAACAATAAACGTTTTTAACCTAATATGAATCACCTACAGAACAGGGGCTGGTTTTGGACCTCTTTTCACTCCCCCACAACAAAAATTAAAGAGCTGAATCCATAATTGACATAAAAGCCCTTCCCTTGAGAACCAAAGTTCGAATCCTAGCACCAGAACAACAACCAAAAAAAAAAAACCCAAAGCTTTTTTATCCATCAGTCAGAACCAAACAGGGAGTAAGAAAGATCTCTCAGCAAAACTGAGTCAAGCCAACAATCTCCTTTGGGAAAGGAGCCAGTCCAGCCCAGATCTTCCTTGTAATTCAAAGTTTTGTTCTTTCCTCCCTTTGCAACAGTCTAATCTCAGGACACTACCCACCACTGCCTTTTAGGAGTGATGAGCATTTGTCATTTCATCTACAGAAGCTTGCAAGCACCTGGAGAGGCAGGTCTGGGTCTAAATGTCTCCCGCAGGTTCGGGGACACATCCTAGGGGGTAGATACGTATTAGTAGCACATCAGAAATTAAACTCAGCTGCAGCTGCTCAGAAAAAACTGACTCAGACAAAAGCAAAAAATAACAACAACATTCTGACATTCTGAGTCCCATTTGAGAGACAGCCCCTCTCTCTCTCTCTCTCTCTCTCTCTCTCTCTCTCTCTCTCTCTCTGGAGGAGGCACCTTCCTTTCACAGATGCTGCTGTCAGTTCTATGTTTCCAAGCCAGGACAGTAGATATACCTATTACTCTACTCTTTTTCTTTTTTTAAAGAGTTTATCAAGCATTTTTCACGATCAAATAAGACAGTGGTCTTCCAAAGAGCTTCCTGAGAGTAAGCCAAGATTGTTATCCCTACTTGACAACTAAAAGTAAATTATTTGAGCCAAAAGAGTAAATGCCAGCTCAGGAAGTGGAAGCGAGGTCTTGGTGAGCCAAGGGGCCTGTCCTGCAGCCTTCCTCCCCCACTACCTTCCTGCATGTGGGCTCGGAGCTGTCCCCTTTACAGCACTGTGTGCAAAGACAACAGACAACAGAGTCTAGCACAGCTGGGCAGCAACTGTGAAACCGCTAAAGGGACAGTGAAAGTGGACTACACTGGTTTCCCTTGAGTTGTTGCTTCAGGGTACTGACACTACATCTGATTTTGGGCTTGGCTATGTCTGGGAAAGAAATGGGGCAAGCAATGAGGCCCACGTCTTCTGGGATTAGGACAATGGTTCATTACTTTCTTCACCTTATAATATATCTCTCTAATCACTCGGGCCCTATTCCACTCCTATCTGCACTAATCCCAAAGGCTAGCATCTGCAAGTGGCAGAAAACCAGAGCTGAAGTTCCCACCAGCCCCAAACCATCTCAGGAAATGAAAGCTTGTTCAAAACTTTCACAGCATGGAAGTGCCTGTCTGCAAGAGGACCACTGGAAAGGGTACGGATATGAGAAATCCAAGACAGAAGAGACTATCAAACCATATAGATTTGCCTTGGAAACATTTTTACAGTTATGCAATTACCCAGTTTCTTGAGAATGTGTATCTCCATCAAAATTAAGAAACCATATCAGCCCAGCCAGCGTGGCTCAGTGATTGAGCGTGAACCTATGAACCAGGAGGTCACAGTTCAATTCCCAGTCAGGGCACATGCCCGAGTTTTGGGCTCGATCCCCAGGGTGGGGCATGCAGGAGACAGCTCGATGATTCTTCTTTCTCATCATTGATGTTTCTATCCCTCTCTCCCTCTCCCTTCCTCTCTGAAATCAAATATAGATGATGATAGATAGATAGATAGATAGATAGATAGATAGATAGATAGATGATAGATAGATTTTTTTTAAAGAAACCATATCATAAAGATCTAAAACTTCAGCTTTCCTAAGCTTCCCCCATCCCCACCTCATTTTCCTACCATTTGCTGCTCTGTCCTAGGAATACTGCTTCATTTCTCAAACTGATGTATAGAATGGGGATGAAGTCAAGATGGGCTCTTTCTACAAGCTTGATGGTTTTCCCAAAAAGAGAACAAAGGTTTTTGTGTGGAGTTTTTTCCTTAAAATGACTTCCCTCACAATTCCTACTGAGCTGTAATAAACAAAAACAGATGTCATCGGAGCACTTTAATGAGAAGGGATGCTTCCTGTGTATAAAAATGTTAAAGCAAGATTTTTCTGAGGACAATATCAAGCACAGGCAGCCTACAGGACCAGAAGTTAAGACTAGATGAACAAGTGCAGATAGATTTCTACGATTTCTCTCATGTTTGGAGCGAATTTGGTTTACCCTAAGAGTCACACCTCAAACGATCACAGCACTATCTGAAGCCAGTGTTAACCTGCTGCTACAATGGAAGAACCACAACATCAATTATAACCGCATGTATTTAAGTGCTTTTACTGACGAAAATTTCTAAAGTAAGAACATTAAAAGGAGAAAAGAAACCAGAAGATTTCCAAGACATATTACATTTTAAAAGGAAAACAACGTACAAAGAGCAATATGCAGTGAGTAATCTCACTTATGTTCAAATAAGAAACGTTTATCTGCACAAATATATGGATATGCATGGAAAGAGATGTGAAAGGGCAAAAGCCAAATATTACAGCAGTTACCCCTGGAAGAGAGATCTGAGATAGGATGGGCGTAAAAGAAGGAAGCAAGGAAGCAAGCAAGAGGCAGAAAAGGACTAAATTCTTCTAACTATTTGCCTTTTTAAAAAAGAAAATACAGGGTGGGGCAAAAGTGTGTTTACAGTTGTGAGTACGCAAAACACAGTTTATTCTCATATTATTATTTACTGTATTATTTTCCATATGAACAAGTGTAAGCCTACTTTGCCCACCCTATATATACATGTGTTACAGTATAATTACACTACATGAGACAATAATCATGTAGTTGGCAGTATTGTTCCTAGAAGAAAAAAAGACAATAAAAACATGGCAGAAATTGTATTTCATTGTTACACATAAATATAATTTAACTACTTACCTATGAGAAAGAGGTTTAAATATACATTGCCTCCTAGATTAACAGAATTCAAGGAGAAGGAATAGTATCCCAAACACCCCGTGAACCAAATCAGCCAAACAGTAAGTGTCCTTTTTCCAATATTGTAGTCATAAAACAGATATAATAGCCTGTGCTTATTAGCGTACAGAGACTGTTTATCAGCAGGACTGTATAGATCCAGGGATAAGAGTTCTGACAGCTTAAAGGTGCCTGCCCTATTCCACTTGGCCATCTGATCAACCACTGTTTGTGCTTCTTCATATTTTCCCTCTGAAAGAAGCCAAAAAGGAGTCTCCGGGAGCATCCAACAGAACAAGACAAAGGGGGCAGTCACTGTTGAGAGGATTATCTGGTAGATCCACCAGGTCCTGACCAAGTAACCCGTCAAAGCCACCACCATCGTTCCAATAGCAAAAAAGGAGTGCACTTGGATGCATGCCCACGTCCGAGCCTTCATGCCGATAAATTCTGTCACATAGACGAACACCACCACGAGATAGCCGCTTGAAACCTGAAAAACACAAGGGGGAAGGCGGTCTAGATTTAAGGTCACATTGACAACTCCTAAGTGGTCTGCTGTCTCTGCCAGTGACGTGTAGGCAAGAAAGAAAATGCCAAAGAATTGTTTTTTGGAACCCATATCACATTTATAAAAGGGCACCTAATCTGATCCATCCTTCCATTTTAAAAGGGGTCCTTTCATCTTCCTCCACCTTCTCCACACTCCATGGCAAAACTTGAGAGGTAATGTATAAATAAAGGTGAGACACGGCTTTCTGTTTCATTTAAATATTCCTTTACACTGTGAATTTATTTCTCAGGTCCTTGTAACTGTACATATCCATTTATCTATATATGCATGAGGTCCTTATTATTAAATCCTAAATTTTAAATAGGGACAAAAAGTTGTAGTAAGTAGTGGGAAGAAAAAAGATTTAACTAAAACTCTATTTTGACCAGCAACAAAGGAAAAAAACAGGTAAGTTGGACATCATGAAAATTTAAAACTTCTGTGCATCCGAGGACACTATCACTGGAGTGAAAAGGCAACCTAAGGATTGAGACATTTGCAAAACACATATATGATAAGGAAAATTATCCAGAATATATAGAGAACTTCTAAAAACTCAACAAACAAACAATCTAATTCAAAAATGAGCAAACAAGGAACTGCGATTTCTCCAAAGGAAGAGATGTGAATGGCCAAACAACATCACTAATCATTAGAGAAATGCAAATCAAAATCACAATGTGATACCATCTCATAGCCATTAAGATGGCTGCTATAAAAAAAAATAAAAAACAGAAAATAACAAGCGTTGGCAAGGATGCAAGAAATTTGAACCTTTGTGTACTGCTAGTGGGAATGTAAAGTGATGCAACCACTAAAGCAAGCTGTATGGGAATTCCTCAAAAATTAAAAAATAGAACTACTATATGACCCAGCAATCTGTCTTTGGTTATATAGCCACAAAAATTGAAAGCAAGGTCTCAAAGAGACATCTGTACATCCATGTTCATAACAGCCTTATTCACAGTAGCTAAAATGTGGAAACAACACAAGTATCCATAAACAGATGAACAGATAAGCAAAATGTGGTGTATGCATACAGTGGAATATTATTTAGCCTTGAAAAGGAGGGAGGAAGAATATTCTGACATAAGCTACAACATGAGTAAACTTTGAGGACATTATGCTAAATGAAATAAGACAATCACAAAAAGACAAATACTGTATGACTGAATTTATATGGAGTGCCTAGAGAGAGAACGTAGAATGATGGTTGCTAAGGGCTAAAGGGATGGGTAGAGAGAAAGGGGAATTATTATTTAATGGGTACGGAGTTTCAGTTTTGCAAGATTAAAAATATTCTGGATATGAATGATGGTGATGGTTGGACAGCAATGTGAAGGTACCTAACATTACTGAACTATACACTTTAGTTCAGTTGGTAAATTTTATGTGATGTGTGTCTTACCACAATAAAAAAACAAATGGGAAGAAACCTTTATCTTGAAAATAGGCCCAGCAAGCTGGAGGGGACCAAGGGAGAGAGAAAAGGGGACATATGTAACACTTTCAACAATAAAGGTCTTTTTAAATAATAAAATAAAATAGTCCCATTTTTAACAATATTTAGATTGTAATAGTAGTCTGTGATCTTTCTTGGAATATGAAAAGAATGAGTCAAATGATGGATTTTTTTTTAGGGGAGCGGTGAAAGGATTAGAATTTTTCCTGCAAAATTATTTCACATTTGACTTTTATAACACAATCATAAAGTTAATTTTTGCAAAATTATTCCAGAGCACCACCAATTTCCCCAAAGGCTTCTCTTCATTCTTTAATATTCGAATTATACTCTTTTGAAACCCGTGTGGATGTTAATTTCTGGACCCCTTGGTGAGAGGGGATACGTTCCCTTCTCTGTGCTCAGCAAGATTACAAGCTCTTCCTGCAGATAAAAAAGTCACTCCATTATCCTTGACTAGTGACCTTCAAACAGAATCCCTGCTGCTGTCTGGTCATTTGGAAGCTGTCTGAAAGCCACTCCAAGCGTGGAAACAACGTCCTCACTCGCTGGCCCACCTCCAGTGACAGTCCCTGTTGCAGAGCCTCCTCCCTGCCGGGTGCTGTCCCACAGATGTTTACTGTTATCCCACTGAATGCTGATAACAGCCCTGAGAAGCAGGTATTATTTCCCACAGCTCAGAGTTCAGAAACTAAGGCTCAAAGAGGATAACATGGTTCCCCACGGTCACACAGCTAAGAAGCCAATCTATGACAAACTCATTCCTTTCTCACAAGGCTCCCCGGGTACCTCAGAACATAAAGGCCTAATGCCTTCCTGTTTTCATTCTTACTGCACAATACACAAATGACTTCTTTAACACCTTACCCATCTGTTTGGCTCCTACATGCAGGGCCTGATGAGACCAATATAATTAATTGCTCAGAAATAAAATAATGCCTTAGGAACTGTGGAATGTGGACTCTGTGCCAGGCATAGAGTCAAACAAAAAAGTTTCTGCCTAGTAGGCAACAATTATTCATTTTAATGAGTCCCATTCTAAACAAAGGGCATTAATATTCCACAGAAAGAACTTCGGCAAGGGAGTGAACCAAGGTTAAGCCTTGATCTCTCGCCCTAGATTCCAAATTGGCATATCTGAGAGAGTTGAGCTTCGATGTGAAACACTGTGTCCAATTAAAAAAGTAAAAAAAAAAACACAACTCACAATAGCAAGAAGAAAGCGTGCAAGCATGAAGCTGTAATAATCCAATGTGAATGCCGCTGCTATGCCAAAGAAGTACATGCCAATGCTTGTGGACCACAAGACAAGTCGTCTTCCTATCCTGAAAGAGAAGCATCAACAGCGGAGGAAGCAAGATAGAGTTGTAAACATCCACCCCAATTCATGAAAGATGTGTTACCCATGTTTTTAATAGCTTATGTTTCTGGTTATTGTTATTCATTCGTTTGGGGCAAACCATGAGTAAAGACTTATTTCTTCAAGAGGCCAGTCTTTCAGTGGCGAGGTCTCTACCTAAGCTGCTAATATACATATATGATCACTCTGGGTGATCCCCAGGAGATCCACTAATCTGGGATTTGGGGTAAGAGGAGGGAGCATGTGTCCTTTCCCTCCCAGGACTCCCAGTCTCTGATCTGTTGGATCACCTTCCCAGCCGAGCTGGTGCTGCCCACCAAGGCTGAGGCAGCTCTTGCTAAGCTTTCTTATAGATAGAGATCTTGCTACATTCTGCTCATAAAGTAAGATGCTTACTTGCCCTATATTTTTATAGTTGGGGAAGGGTATTTCTTTGTCTAAAAACAAATAACAGCCCGACCGCGTAGTTCAGTGGTTAAGTGTCAACCTATGAACCAGGAGGCCACAGTTCCATTCCCAGTCAGGGCACATGCCTGGGTTGTGGGCTTGACCCCCAGTAGGGGGCTGTACAGGAGGCAGCCAATCAATGATTCTCTCTCACCATTGATGTTTCGATTTCTCTTTCCCTCTCCCTTCCTCTCTGAAATTAATAAAAATACATATATACATAAATACATAAATATAAATAAAAACAAATTCTATTCCTGACAGATTTTATTTTAATTGAGATATAATTTACATGCCACAAAAACCAACTTTTTAAAGATTACAATTCAGTGGCTTTTAGTGTGTTCACAGAGTTGGGCAACTGTCATCACGATCTAATTCCAGGACATTTCCATCACTGCAAACAGAAACTCTGCACCCCAGAGCTGTCATCCCTCATTCTCTGCTCCCTCCAGCCCTTGACCACCACCAACCTACTTTCTGTCTCTGTAGAGTTGCCTCTTCAGGACATTTTATATAAATGCAGCCATACAATATCTTACCTTGCATGTCTGGCTTCATTTACTTAGCATTATGTTTTCAGCATTCACCCATGTCGTAGCATGTATCAATACTTCAGACTTCTTGATGAGTAACTAACATTCCATTGTATGGATATGCCACATTGTTTATCTATTCATCAGTTGATGGACAGTGGGTTGTTTCACTTTTGGATTATTATAAATAATGCTGCCATCAACATTCCTGAACAAGATTTTGTGTGAACTTATGTTTTCAATTCTCTTGGATATACTCTGACGAGTGAAATTGCTGGGTTATATAATAACTCTATGTTTTAACTTTTTGAAGAACTTCCAAAGTTTTTCCCAAAATGGCTGCCCTGTTTTTTACACTCCTACCAGCAACATATGAGGGTACCAATTTCTCCATATGCTCCACAACACTTGTTATTATTGGCCCTTTTATTATCGCCATCCTAGTGAGTGTGCAGAAGTATCTCATTGTGATTTTGATTTACATTCCCCCAGTGATTAATAATGGTGAGCATTTCATATATGTTCTTTAGGGAAATATCTATCCAAGTCCTTTGTCCACTTTTAATTTGGATTTTCTTTATATTGTTGAGTTGTAAGAGTTATTTATATATTCTGATGCTGACTCTTATTAGATATACGACTTGCAAATATTTTTTCCCTGTGAGTTGTCTCTAACAGATAGTTTTAAGGCAAAAAAAAATATATAGTCCCGAGATTCCAACCAGTAGGTAAATTATTAGAATTAATGAGCATTTAATGAGGTGGCTGGATATATTATCAATATATATAAATTAATTCTATTTCTGTATACCAGTAACAAATATAAAAATTTTTAAATGCCATTGCAATACCTTAGAGCTGTGAACTATATATGAATAAATCTAACAAAAAGCTTGTAAATGCTCTATAGAGAAAAGGACAAACTTCAAGAATCAAATCATTAAGGGAAATAGATATATCATTAGAAAGAGACTGATGGTCCCTTAGAGGACCCTGAAACAGACTAGTGCATTCATAGACAGAAGTATGGAACAAATAAGGCACTGCACATTAGCAGAGAAAGAATCAGTAAGTGATGCTGGGACAACTGTCTAGCCATATAGAAGAAAATACAACCGGAGTCCCTTTCTCATAACTTACATTATAAAAATCAGTCCCAGAAGGATTAAAGGCACATATGTGAAATGCAAAACTATATAACTTTAGGAAGATGATATTGGAGAATATCTTCAGAACCTAATGCAGGAAGGGAAGACATTTTTTTTAAGATTCAGAAAGCACTAACCATGAAGGAAAGGATAATACATTTGATTTCACGTCCATCTGAAAGACACTCCTGGCTGGCGTGGCTCAGTAGTTGAATGTTGACCTATGAACCAGGAGGTCATGGTTTGATTCCCATCAGGACAAATGCTCGGGTTGCAGGCTCGATCCCCAGTGTGGGGTGTGCAGAAGGCAGCCAATCAATGATTCTCTCTCTTCATTGATGTTTCTATCTCTCTCTCCCTTCATCTCTGAAATTAATAAAAATATATTAAAAAGAGACAAAGAGAAGACACATGGGAGGGAGGAAGGGAGGGAAGAAGGGAGGGAGGGAGGGAGAGGAAATATTTATTTGTTTTACATATAACTAAAGGATAAGGATCCCAAATAGTCAAAGGACTTTTGAATTCGTGTACTGGTGGGGTCCCTTGGCCTAGCTGCAGGGATCGGGCCGAAACCAGCTCTCCAACATCCCCCAAAGGGCCCTG